CGAGCAACATTCCCTGAGTTTAAAATTCACATTACTTGATAAGAAAATTAAATCTAAAATTCTATTAAGCTTATTATAATAACTATTAACTTGACGAAGATCTAAGCTAGCGAAATTGTCAACTAAGTATTGCTCGAAAGATCTACATACATTTGATGAAACTAGGGAGTCTAAGTTATCTAAGTACGACCAAGAAATATTGCTTAAGTTAAAGTCGCCAAGCACACATAACTGGTGATGTCCAATTCTTGAGTGAAGTGAGGTTACATTGTCAACATGACGTTTGTACAAAGATTCATGACTGTTGGGCGGAATTTAAGAGGCGCAAATTAATAGATCGGACGATGTACTGCGTAAGCGCACGCATAATTGGTCTAAAAGGGAGTCATTATTATCAAGACAATGAACCGATGCTCGTAGGCTTCGCCACCTCTATTACATTCAGTTTTAACAGCATCTCTGTCCTTGCGGAAAACATCACGTGAACCCATCCTTCACAAAAAATATTGATAAAGCATTGTTCACTCAAAATCGGTACGCATAAAATGGGTTATATCTTTTTAACAGGTTTTCAGAAAATAATATTTAATATATGAAAAAATAAAGGGAAGTATTCAGCTATCGACAGATGTTAGCGAAATTTCATATTTTGCTTGTATATGTGTATTTTGTTTTGAATAGATACCGTGTATTTTTTGATTTGACGTAAATAGGACATATTTTTAAATTGATGAGTTCCAAAACTTTATTCATATCTTTGGCTTCAAACCGATTTAAAGTTACATGTGAATAATTAATTTTCTTTAAAACCAACCAAAACTTTACTGAAGGTCTAAAGTAAATGATACAATGGCTTAACACTTTATGCAAGCGCTCCTTCCAGCATATTTCTGGGGTCATATGGCCCTTTGCGGAGTCTGATCGAGTTTTAATAAGACTGTTTCGATTCTCTCGTCATTTCATATCCCTTTAACAACTGTGTCAACTTCTATAAATTTAATTTTAAGAGGATATCACCCTGTTTCTTTTTAGCTTAAAACTTTTAAGGTGGGAGTTGACCGAAGTCAAGTTTTAAACATGTTTTTAGTCATTGTTAAAAAATACCACATTTGGTGTGAACATTTGGGGTAAAGTAAACGGATGCGATTTCTGTTATCAAATTTATTTAATCTAACAAAAATATAAGTATATATTATAACTCGATAAGGTTTAAGTCTTGCCATAGCTTCCATTCGCTGAACTGTGGATAATCGTTTTCCAATTCTTTCGCGCGATCTTCTTCTGATAAGCCGATTTTTTTTATAATTGAGGTAAAGAGCCTTATCCTTAAGCTGGTGTGAAATGATTTTTTTTGATGATTAACTTACTCTGTTAGTTTAAGCAGAAGGAATCCATTCATTGATTTTTGGAGGAAAATTAGAAGTTTTTAGTATATTTAATTTTAATTTAATTTTTGATCTCGAGAATGTCAGATTTTCAACGAATTTGTTCAACATTAATTTTTGAGCAGCCACTTCCAAAACAAATAAAACTGTCAAATTAAAAGCCAGTACTATGAAATTTAAACCTCATAATGGTAGATCTATTGTCTAACGATCTGCATTGGAACTTTTTAATACATTGAAACAATTGCTGTACAATTGCTGGAACGCGTACCGATTATGAGTGAACAATGCTTTAGATAGAGCCCTTGTTATAGACTCTAGTCCGAATTCCGGTAAGTAACATAAAATAATGTCAGGAGCAGGTAATAATGTACCTTTGTACTATTAAGCATGTCATTGGTCGGTAACAAGAGCAACTTAAATTTAAATCTATTAAATACATTCTAGCGTGTCTCAGTCCTTTACCCACAAAAGCGGGTATAACTTTTTTTTCTATTCGAAACAGTAAGAGTGGCACCTTTCTGAAATCTTTATTAAATGAGCAATTCCTTTGTGTAATGTAAAGTTATAGCTCAGTACATTTTTTCCCCCAGAGATATTCAAAGTTGGGGAAGAAAATATCAAAAATTAAAAATCCCAAAATAGTCCTAATTTTATGATGGTTCCTTAGTATATTTTACCTACATTGCATTTGAGTATGGAGAAGCAACTATCTGGAAGTATTTTACATAAAAAATTTACTAAGTATAGCCTGGTTTGTAGATGCAGTTAAAGAAAATACATGAAAAGGCACGATTTTTTTTAATTAAAAAAAATGTAAATATTTCAAAAACTGTGACACTTTTACCTGAAAATTTTTTGTTTATCAGGGAGCCCCCACCTACCTTCCCCTAAAGTTTGGCATGTTACTTCTGGGACACTCTGTATATTGGGGCGGGTCGATTTGTAGGGGCCCAAAAAATTAACAGAGGCACATCGCGATTATGATTATTTGGGTCATTTCAAGCATTTTTGTTCGAGCCAGCGAGTTTTCTATCTAGTTTTTTTTTCCAAAGTGGCTCACCTGTTGAAACAACTGTATTTAAAACTAGCCAAAATGTGTATATGGGGGTTTTTGGAGTCGAGGAATCCATATCTGGCATTCATTTTGTTTCTTTTGAAGGCCGTCAGAGGGCGCTTCCGTCCTTTTTTTGAATTCTTATGCCTTTTTTCCGAAAATCGACAACATTGTGCGAAAATTCACGAAATTTGACTTTCTCAAATCTTATCGATAAAGAATGTCAAGCTGAGTAGACGTGTTTGTCGGTGCGCTGCAGCTGTATATTTATTCCGAGTGTTTGATCAATTGTTTGCGTTTAAAGTGGTAGCGGGTCTCACTGAAATATCTCTACACCTCATATCGAGTAGGTCTGCTGCAATAGTTATATTATTTTTAATCGTCGCAATTCAATTCCAAATAAAAATAAAATGACAGCAAGAAAAGTTGCGCGTCAAGCGGTATCTACTCCGCAGAATAGTTCTCTCAGTAAAACTGAGAAAAAAGAGAGCTCCCCACCTACATCTTGGCTTGAGCGTATTGAGGAGCAACTGGATTCACAGAGGAAGATTATTGTGGAAGAGATAGCTGAACGGTTAAAATCATCTGAAGAACGAGTGATGCAGCGATTTGGCGAGTTAACGGCTGAGCTGGCGAATCTAAAAAAGGCTTTGCGAAAAATGGAAGAACGAGTGGAAAAGGCAGAAGCTCAAATTGCGCAAAATGAGCAGCTGCAAATGGAGGTAGCGCTGCTTAAGACTGAGCTTAACGAATGTCAAAACCAAGCCGTCTCCACCGATATCATTATCAATGGTCTCCCCTATGTGGATGGTGAGAATTTAGGAGATACCTTCGGCAACCATGGAATATTAGATTTCTTTTTTTCGATTTAATGAAAGACCAGAATAAGAAAAAAATGTGTGTTGTTTGTGGTCTGTTTTATTTAAATAAAGTATTCAATTGTATTACTAATTAGTAATTTTTTTGTTTAAAATATTTTTTATAAGAAAAAATTTTTATTTTTTTCCTTTCAAGAGTTTTTCTCAAGTTTTTATATACGAAGTATACAAATATGCTTATCAGAAGAAATAGTGGTTCAATCGCCTTTACAACGATACCAACCTTTTAAAAGTCGGTTAGTTATTTTTTTGTTTAAAATATTTTTTTTTATAAAAAAAGGTATTTTTTCCTTTAAATGTTGCGTAATAAAGTTTCAAAACAAATTTTTAAAATCATATATTCAATTTTTTGCTTTATTTATAAAACATTTTGATAATTTTAATCACATTAAATCTTTCTTTTTACTTATAAAGCAATGAAACGAAGAATTTTAAAATTTTTCGTGGTTTTTTGAAAAATTCTTCTAGAACTTCGTCAACTGGAAAATTTATATCTTTGTGAATATTCATAGATGCTAGAACGTTGAGCCTTTCTTAACATGTTGCATTTCTCAAGTAGGTTTTAGTTCTTGTCCGGCATGAAAAGCTTCGTTCAGGTGTGCCTATTGAAACGGGAAAAAGTGCCAATATACGTAAGATCTTAAAAACATTCCCAAAAGACGTTGTATTAGCTACTTGAAATGCTTCGAGAGCATTTCGAAAATGTTCGTGTGAAACTCGTTTTTTCCACATTTCTACCTCCAGAAGAATTTTGTTTGGAGCAGACGATTACTCTTTCATTGAAAGCAAACAATTCTTCAGTTTTTTTTTTCGTTAAAATCATACTTTGGAAACAAAACACTAAAGTTATTTAAAACTGATTTATGGTTTAGGAACCGGCTTTTCAAATGAGCAATATGGGCCGCTGTGGTGTAGTGGTAAGCAGTGCGCGCTTTCACTCACCAGCACCTGGGTTCAAGCCCTGGTCAAAGCAACATCGCAAAAAATTTAGAAAAAGGTTTTTCTTAACAGCGGTCGTCCCTCGGCAGGCAATGGCAAACCTCCGAGTGTATTTCTGCCATGAAAAACAGCTTCTCATAAAAATACAATCGCCGTTCGGAGTCGGCGTAAAACTGTAGGTCCCTCCGCTTTGTGTGACAATATCAAGGCGCACGCCACAAGTTGGAGGAGAAGCTCGGCCAAACACTAACATATGTGTAAGCGCCAATCTATTATTATTATTATTAATATGGGAATATGGGGAGCAAGGAAGGGAATGTAAAAAGCAATGCGATAGTATGCCTCGGCGTCTCCGGCTTTCACATTAAAGCGATTCTTTTGGCGACTGCTGTATCGCAGTACTTTGATTTTTGTGCCTAGGTTCGTGCATACTTCTTCTACGTGTTCGAAAAGCAAATGAAAGTTTCTTTCTGCATCTTGTCGCATTTCTTCAAATTCCTTTAAAGCGTCGTCGGCTGAGCTCATTGCTTCTGCAAGATCTTCATCTTCTTCCTCTTCTTTTTTGGCGCTGTAACCGCCTAAGCGATTTTGGCCGAGTTCAGCAAAGCACGCCAGTCGTTTCTCCTCTGTGCCAACTGANAGGAAGGGAATGTAAAAAGCAATGCGATAGTATGCCTCGGCGTCTCCGGCTTTCACATTAAAGCGATTCTTTTGGCGACTGCTGTATCGCAGTACTTTGATTTTTGTGCCTAGGTTCGTGCATACTTCTTCTACGTGTTCGAAAAGCAAATGAAAGTTTCTTTCTGCATCTTGTCGCATTTCTTCAAATTCCTTTAAAGCGTCGTCGGCTGAGCTCATTGCTTCTGCAAGATCTTCATCTTCTTCCTCTTCTTTTTTGGCGCTGTAACCGCCTAAGCGATTTTGGCCGAGTTAAGCAAAGCACGCCAGTCGTTTCTCCTCTATGCCAACTGAAGCCAATTGGAACGTCAAGTGAAGCCAAGTCCTTCTCCACCTGATCTTTCCATCGCAGTGGGGGCCTCCCTCTTCCTCTGCTACCACCAGCGGGTTCCGAGTTGAATACTTTCAGAGCTGGAGCGTCGGTGTCNAAAAAGCAAATGCTTGGCTGTTGTCGCTGTGCTAACAGTTTTTCCAACCCTGATAATTTCTATAGATATTCGCACGATACAAATAATTTTTACGATTGAATTTTAAAACGATTTTTCATTTTGCTACGTTAGATCCGTTGCCGAGAAATTTATGGATACATATACATATACACAAAAATTGCTCGTTTAAGGTAATTAGAATAAGGGGCAAAATTTCCCGCAAACGCATTGTATTATGCTCCTTAATAGGGAGCATTTTCGCCTCGCCGTGCAGGTGGTATTCTGGCGACATCAGAAGGCATCCAGTCGCTGTCCTAAGTGCAGTGCTTTGTGTCGCCTGCGTCCTACTAGTCCCCGGCGACCACAGTGGTTCTGCGTAATTTAAAACCGGCCGGCCTATTGCCTTGCATGTTGTCAGTAACGTTTTATTGTCTTTGCCCCCAGTACTGCCGGCTAGCGACTTGAGGACCTTGTTGCGTCTCTGTACTTTGTTGACAATAGCGACAATAGCGGCTGCGTGTGCAGAGAAGGCCAGCAGATTGTCGAAGGTTACTCCGAGTATTTTGGGATTATTCACCATCGGAATTGGTGTATCATCGACGTGCATTCCCAGGGGTAGCCTGACCTCCTTCGCCCAGGTAGTGAACAAGGTCGCAGAGGATTTTGTAGGGGAGAGGGTTAGGCTCCTTGCAGTGAAGAAGCGAAAAAGCTCGGAGAGATACCCGTTTACTTTTGAACACAAATAATCAATTCCATTCCAAGACGATTTAGTCGAGCAATCTTCGGCGTAAGAGACAATCGAGACACCCTCTGGTGGTTGAGGGAGTTTTGAAATGTTAAAGTTAAACAGTAGTGGGGAAAGGACCCCACCCTGTGGAACCCCTTTTTTATTTTTCTGAGTTTGCTCGATATGTCTTTAAACATTACCGAAGAGTGACGACCACTCAGATAATTATTAATTATAGATTAATTATATTAATTATAGATAATTATAGATTAATTATAGATAGATTAATTATAATTCGCCGACCACTGTTTAAGCCTCTGTGGGAGAGAGGAAGCCTCTATATCTTCTAGTAGCGTGGAGTGGCTGACGGTTCAAACGCCTTCGACAGGCCCAACGCTACTAGAATTGTTCTCTCCCAAGGACGGTTGTGGTTGAGGCCACTTGTTATATGAGTGTTTGTGGCGTTAAGTGCTGTTGTTGTACTGTGCTGATGCTTCGCCGGGGTCAGGTGATTCGTAAAGTACGGGAGCAGTAAGGCCTCTAGTGTCTTCGCACTGGGGAAAGGAGTTTTAACGGGCGAAAAAATTCTCCTTTGTTGGCTGCGTTCCCCGGTTTGTGCAGTGGGACCACTCTCCCCACCTTCCAGATGTCCGGGATGATGAGAGTGGCCATTGACATATTGAGGACCTCCGTTAGGTACGCTACTCCCGCAGGACACAAATTTTTCAGCATCAACATTCATGTTCCATCGGAACCCATGGCTTTGGAGGCTTTCGCCAAGGGGCACAAGTTGTTGGCAGTTTGTACAGCCTTTCTGGTCACTCGACGCTTGGCTTTGTCCGCCGGAGACTGCAGTGTGAACGGCTGGCTAAAATAGCTCGCGCATCACTCCTGGTCCGACGAAGCATGGTCTCCGAAAAAAATTTCGACCCTGTCGTCGTGCTTCGTTGGATTGGACAGTGATCTCACGGTTGACAAAAGCTTACTCATACCAGAGGTGAGGTTGCAAATCTTCAGATGCTCTTCCCACTTTGTCCGCTTATGTACGTTCACCAGCTGCCAAATCTCCGCGTTGAGATCCCTGATACGGGGATTTCCGGGATCGGCCTGACGAAGGTTGTCACGTTCATTGGCTAGAAAAGCCGCTTCACCAGGGAAGTTTGGCCGGGGGTCGATGCATCCTGCCGGCACGAAGCGAGCTGCTGCTGCAGCAACAACCCTGCGGAACTTACGTTCACCAAGGTGGACGTCAGTTGGTGTGGGGAGCGTAGCGAAGATGCTCTCAGTAAATTCGTAGAAGCCATTCCAATAAGCTCTAGAAAAGTTGATTTAGATCAAGTGTTCCGCGGAAGTAAAGTTGGTTGGTTTATCGATCGAGATGACTATGGGCAGATGATCTGATGCCAAAGTCAGCATAGGTCGCCATGATTCGCTGTTTATCAGACCAGCGCTGACAATTGTTATGTCTGGCGGGCTGCAGCGGCTGCCCATAATCCTGGTGGGTGTGTTGTCGTTCATTGTGCAGAAAGTCGAATCGTCTATCTGCTCAGCCAAGTCTGTTTGGATGATTTCTCGTTTGATATTTTATAAAAAATACTCAAAAAAGGTTTTTAAATAATGATTTTTATAAAATTATGAAAAACTCGTGTTTTCTTGGTTTGACCTTAAAAAAGAAGAGAAAGAAAACGGATGTTAATGTGGTTTAATAATAATAATAGATTGGCGCTTACACATATGTTAGTGTTTGGCCGAGCTTCTCCTCCGACTTGTGGCGTACGCCTTGATATTGTCACACAAGGCGAAGGGACCTACAGTTTTACGCCGACTCCGAACGGCGATTGTATTTTTATGAGAAGCTGTTTTTCATGGCAGAAATACAATCGGAGGTTTGCCATTGCCTGCCGATGGACGACCGCTGTTAAGAAAAAACCTTTTTTCTATATTTTTGCGATGTTGCTTTGACCAGGGTTTGAACCCGGGTCCTGCGGAGTGGAAGCGCGCACTGCTTACCACTGCACCACAGCGGCCGACATGTGGTTTGCTACTATAAAATAAAAAGGTATGTAAGGGTTGCTTGTATTCAAGAAAAGTAGACTAGACTGAGCGAACCCAATTAGACTATTTAATTGTCTTTAAAAGTTACTCGCCGCCGTCTCGTCTTAGTCGAAGTGATAAGACTCTTCTGTGGCGATGATAAATTTTCATTTACAAGGTACGCTGGCTTTAATCGATCCACAGAAATGTTCTTCGGCTTCCCTTTTATTGAGATTTTGAAAAAATTCTTGGACCTGGATTAAACCTCAAACGGTCCTTCATAGGGTGTTGAAAACGATGGGCGCACCGAATCATTTCTGACAAAACATTTTTGCATATATTTTCGGAGTTCCACTACAAAGTCCGATTGTGATTTGGTTTTAGGATTCTTAGCAAGAAATTCTGGTGGTATTCGGACGGTGCTGCCAGTGCGGTGCTTGTAGACGGTCCGCAAGCCAAGGAGAATTGTCGGCAATGAGTCCGTCCAGCGTTCCGAGTCGATGCAAAGGAGCGCACATTTAAGTGTCCGGTGCCATATTTCCACGATGCCGTTAGATTATGGGTGGTAAGGCGTTGTCGTCAAATATTTAATGCCGAGTGACTTTGTTAATTCAGCGAAAAGTGTGATCTGAGGTAATTACTGTAGGCACTCCATATCTCGCAATCCAATTAGTAGTCAAAGCTTTAGCAGTAGTTGGTGCGGTCATGTCTGCCATCAGTATTGCCTCGGGTCATCTCGTGTATCGATCGATAATAGTTAAGCAGTACCGAAATCCGCAGTGGAGTGGAAATAGACCCACTACATCAGTGTTGATGTGATCAAAGCGCGAGTCACACGATTCATAGCGCTGAAGTGGAGAGAACGTGTGCCGATTAGTCTTCGCCTTTGGGCACTACAAACATGCTTTGGCGAATGCTCTACTGCCCTTTTGAATACCCGGACAAACAAATCGACTGGTCATTAATTTGGCGGTGGTGCGTCTTCCTGGATGGCATAAGTTATGCGTCGACTGAAAAACGTCTTTGCGAAATTTCGTAGTGGTAAACGGCCGAATGCTGTCCCGTAGAATATCATTTTTGTCGCGATGTGTACAACACATAGTACCAGGAATTTCTTTATTTTATCGAAAAACTGATTTAAACCATAATGTACTGTAAAAACTGGTATTTTTTAAATAAAGGTACGGCGAAACGGAACTTTCCGCAGCAATATACAGTTTTAGTATTCACTGATCCTCTTCCATCATATAATACTCTATTGCATTTTTTTGTGTTCTTAAAACTTTGGAATGTTCCGAGAAGAAAACTTCGACTACGAGAATAAAAGATACCAATTGGTTTCATTAATATTTGAAATGTATATAATCTTGTTTAATTTTGTTAATCGTCTGTAAAAATTTACTGCTCATATTATTATTTTTATATAAATAAATGTAAGGTTTTTGTCATTGTCCCAATATGCCTAACCCGGACAACGTCTGGTATTCTGTTAGTATATTTATAAGTACATTTACATACATGCATTGGGTTTAAGTATAATATAAGTACTAACTACATACGCTGTAGATGTGACAATTTTTACTTCTGGCGAAATTACAAAAGTACTTGAAAAAAACAAAATGAAATACTAAATATTTACATAATTTTTGTGTACATACATAGGTGCGATTTTTACGGAAGACCAACGAGACAGCAGCGTTGAATACTCATTTAAATACGCGGTGTATCGCATTAACAAAGACAAGATGCTATTGTCAAACACACAGCTAATTTATGATATTGAGTACGTGCCACGTGATGATTCCTTCCGTACAACAAAAAAGATATGTCGCCAGTTGGAGTCTGGAGTTCAAGTCATTTTTGGTCCAACGGATCCCTTGCTTGCTGCCCATGTGCAATCCATTTGTCAATCATTCGATGTGCCACATATCGAGACTCGCATAGACTTTGACACAAATTTCAAAGAGTTCTCGATAAATCTTTACCCATCTAAGCGGCTTTTGAGTTTGGCACACCGTGATTTGATGATTTTTTTGAACTGGACAAAAACTGCCATTATCTATGAGGATGATTATGGTGTGTATGTAAACGCTAGTCGCATATTCCACTATTATTTTGTGTATTTTATTTCATTTAAGGCCTCTTTAATCAACAAGATCTGATGCGTTCGACGCCAGATTTCCGCACCGAAATGTATATACGCCAAGCATCGCCTGCAAATTATCGGCAAGTTCTGCGCGCCGTTCGTCAAAAGGAAATTTATAAGATTATTGTAGATACTAACCCGACAAATATAAATAGATTTTTCCGAGCGGTAAGAAATTAGTAGTTCCTACTGAAGATTATAGTATTTTATTATGTTTGTTGTTAAATAATTTTAGATTCTTCAGCTCCAGATGAATGATCATCGCTATCACTACATGTTTACCACATTTGTAAGTCAATTTGATTCTATATTACAATATTTTAAAAAGTCTATAAGGGGAGGGGGGGTTTGTGCTTGTGGTTGAGTGGTGCGTCCTACCACTCCGCCACACCTTAGTTCGATCCCTGGTGTAGGCAACATCTAAATCAGAAAGTTTTTTCTAACAGCATAATGGGACCACTTAATAGAAGGCGATGCTCAAAACTAATTTTTCAAAAAATGGTATTTACGATAAAAAAATATCTACCAGCAGAGCCACAACACAGTGCCGAATCCGTCCATAAACATTGGATTCCCGAACGCTACTAGTTTCCGCGTACAACAGCTCAATGTTTACTTTACAGTCAGAAATTTTTTTTCCAATATCGAAAGCGAGTTCATGGTTGCTATTAAAGCATTTTTTATAATGCTTAAGGTTACTATAAGTCAAAGCTTGCTTAATTTTAATCCTTAAATTATATACGATTACGATTACTTTAATTGTAATCATATAGTTACCATTACGATTATAATAATTGTAATCTTAAATACTTAATTACTAAGATTACTGTAATAGTAACCATGAAATACATGGTTACGAATACCGAAATTGTAATCCTAAAAATTTTAAGATTACAATTACAGTAATTGTTATCATGAAAACTACGATTACGAATACATACTTTAATTGTAATCCTAAAAATATCATGATTACAATTAATGTAATCGTAATCAATAAAATGTTGATTACGACTTTCTGATATTCTGTAAAAGTTTAGTAGTTAAGTAAATGAGCGGAACTTTTTTCTACTTCACCGAAAAGTATGTAAAATTGATTTAGAGTTGAAGTAATACAGTTACACAGCGGCTGCTGTGGTGTAGTGGTTAGCAGTGCGCGCTATCATTCCGCAGGGCCTGTATTCAAGCGCTGTTCAACTGAACATCAAAACATGAAAAACAAACAACTTTTTTCTAATTGCGGTCGCCCCTCGGCAGGCAATGGCCAACCACCGAGTGTATTTCTGATGCGAAAAACAGCTTCTCATAAAAATACAATCGCCTTTCGGGTCGGCGTAAAACTGTAGGCCCCTCCCCTTTGTGTGACAATATCAAGGCGGACAGTTAATCAAAATCAAACTTTATTGGAAATACTGCGACCACGAGTCTGTGGAGTAAACTAATTTTTTTCATGGCGAATTTTTTGATTCACCTTTTTCTCAATAGACACAAGGCTATTTTTCTGAATTTTTCCTATTTATAACCGTAAGGCCTTATATCGACCTATCTCGGCAGCCAGCTCGACAACGCTCTATCTCAAAAAAAACTTTTCAAGAACGCGCTAATTCAGGATTCGTTTCAAAAACTCCCTACCTCAGCTTTCGATTCAAAAACGCTCTATACTAGCATATTTTCAATACATTTTCAAGTGCGATAGGGCGTTCTTCATCCTAATTCTGAGATAGAGATTTTTCTAATAAAATTCTGAATTATGGCGTTCTTGAAAAGTTTTTTGACACGGCGTTTTCGAATCGGCTGCCGAAATAGGTCGATGTTCGACTCAGCAGTCGATATATTATGGAAATTTCCTTTCTTCCACGGTGTGTGTTTGATGTTATACTCAACCCTGTAAATGGGCCTTTTTGTCCTTGTCTAGCTCGCGCAATTCAAAATATTGTCATTTTGAGCAACTATCTGATGAGTGCAACCATCTACCCTGACGAAGCTTCAGAGGGCAGAGAAAGTGCCCTTTTTGCCTAAGAGTGTGACATTTTAAGAAACGAACACAAAATTTGTTCACCATTTGCCTTTATTGTAGAATCGAACACGAAAAGAGAAAGGGGCTATTAAAAGGCGACATTTTTTGGCAGAAACGAAAATACCATTAGTAAGCTTAAAATATTTACACAAGCTTTACGCATTTTTGAGAAAAATATGTTTTAATAAGAACTTATTAATTTTGATTAGCCACTGTCATCCACTATTTTATCAAAAATATGTACCGCGTGGAAGTGTTTTAAGAAAAATCCCATCTAATTGGAAGGGAATAGTAAATACCGTCTGTACATATTCCCTATTTCAATACTGGTATCTTTTATTCCAGACGGAAGGCATTTATCCGTTAAAAATCGGAATTTGTGTAGAGTATTATTTAAAAGCCCTTCTAAATTACTGCAAAGCAAGTTCAGCGATGTGGAAGAATATATTTCAAACCAAACCAGCTGCATAAATCTTTAGGCAATTTCAAAAGTTGCGTCACTTTCATCTGGAACAGCTGCGGTAGATCCACTGGATTTAAAAGAGATAACATAAAATTCCAGATGCTATGTCTTGATACTGCGGAATTGTGTGCCTCCTTTATCCCTGGCAACAAATTACAGCGCACAAAATTTTAATGGATGGTGCCGAAATTTTATGGAATTTCCTTCCACCGATTGGACAATTAAGTGAAAGGCCCAGGAATCGCGAAATAAAGATTTTAAAGCATATCGTAAACGTTTTAGCCGAAAAACTTTAGGAAAAGCTAAACCTGAAGATGTATTTCACCATCCACTGGTTTCTTCCGATCCTCTTAGGCTAAGACCCCATTATCGGCGCAATGGGCCGATTTTCTGCGCATTTGATGTACTGATAGCGTAACACAATTTTTCGAAATTCAGCAATCTGAGCCGAAATTGTGCTAACTATTTATAAGCAACCAAAATTAATATTGCTGTACCCATAATGTGAACAGTCTTTACTTCATTCTAGAACAATCAAATTGTAAACAAGTAAGAGCAGCGCTGTCTTCGGCTATGCCGAAGGCTTCATACCTTTCATGAACATCTGCAAATTTTAGTTTGACAGATTACTGATTTTGAATACATCTGCATACATCGATAGAGGAGTTACATACTTATATAAAAAATCGCCTCTAAACAATCAGAGGTATGGAGGATATACTTTATATGGCACCAATCTAAGTGATTTTCACTGCTATGTGATCGGTATGTAAACCGGTAACACAATTTATTGGATTTAGTTTCCTACATAAAGGAGATATATCGCAAAAACTGGTATCTGAACAATCAGTGCTATAGGAGATAAAGCTTATACAGCATAGATTTTGACGATTTTCTCAGTAGACTTTGTATTATTATTTATAAAATATCTTACGAAATTTATCGGTTTTAGCTGTTCAAATAAAGGAGTTTTACAGTAAAATCCCATATCTGAACAATCAGATGTATGGAAGATATATGTTGTAGTCATCCGATCCTTGTTATTTTCACTGTAAGTATTCTGTTAATAATGAGTGAAAATGGTGCGAAATTTCATGTTCCTAGCTGCATAAATGGAGGAGTTATGATAAAAGACCTCATATCTGAACAATCAGTTGTATAGGGGCTGCAGGCTATAGTGACCCGATCTTCGTTATTTTCACTGTAAGTCTTCTGCTGATAATGAGTGAAAACAACGCGAAATTTCATGGTCCTAGCTAGATAAATGGATGAGTTATAACGAAAAATCTCATATCTGAACAATCAGTTGTATGGGAGCTATATGTTATAGTGGTCCGATTCTTCCGGTTCCGACAAATGATTAATACATTATAAAAATACACCCACCTGCCAAATTTGATCCGGATATCTCGAAAACTGAGAGACTAGATTGCATACAAACAGACAGACAGACGGACATGGATAAATCAACTCAGCTCGACGTTCTGATCATATAAGTATACATTTTGATGGGTCTATCTCTTTTTGTTCTGGTACTTACAAACATCGGACCAAAGTTATAATACCATTTCATGCTCATGAAAGGTATAAAAATGTCGTGATTTTTATCGGGCGCTCATGTCCCGATCAAAGCCGAACATTTGTTTATTGCTATTATTAAACTAGCACGATATTGTGATCATGTTGTACCGAATATCGCCGCATATTTCATTTGGTCGATATGCACCTAAGGAAATTGTCACAATATGCGTAGGGATGCAAACAATGCATCGATGTTTCTGAAACATCGATAACATCGGCTAAAAAACCGATGTTTACCATCGATCGTAAAATTGGCGATATATCGATGTCAATTTTAACGATGTTTTAAACATCGACTTTAGTTTCGGTTCAAAATTGCCATTGCGTTCACATCTTTATGTTATATTCTTTGGGCTCTGTCACACGGTCAGTATTTATTGACGTAATCCAAGTATCGCGATATTTATTGACGGTGTACTATGCAGTATTGATGGGTCGTGATCCATATCGCAAAATATCTAAAAATTTTGCGATATGGATCGCGGATCGCAATACCGTCAATAAATATTGAACGTGTAGCACTTTCAAAACGCGATCCATATATTTCTTCAGTACATCTTTTACTCTCATAATGTAAACATCGGCTCTGCCTTCACTCTCGGGTCTTAAAATCTTTCAAAACAAATTGAACAAATCTTAAAATAATTGTGGAATGCATTATCTGTAAATTATACGTACAAAATAAAGATATTTTCTTGCGTCATAATAAGCGTTCAGCAAAAAAAAAAAATGCAAATACTGACGCGATAAATATTGAACATGTAGCATTCGTGCGCGATCCATCAATCCATCAATATGGATCGCGATCCAAATATCGTGATAATTACTGACCGTGGGACAGAGCCCTTTGAGTAAGCGTATTACGGGTGATGGCAGCCATGTACTTAATAAAAGCAATTAGCAACGTTGAACATAGGCGATTTCCATGACGTAGTTACAGTATTTCAATACGACTTAAGGTGAGTGTAAGTATTATCTGCGCGTAAACAGCAAATCTATTATGGCATTGGAAGGAAATGTAATTAAATTCAAAAAACCTCCCATTGAAATGTTAACAATGTAGCAGTTTAGATGAACACTGGGTTTTTCTTGTAATTTTAACAAGCATTAAGTCAGTTCCAGGTATTTCAGGATTTGCAGGTTTTACAAGTAAAGCGGTTTTCGCCATTAATAAACCTTATGGAAGGTGGCGTACGTTAACATCTTCCTGTAAAAACCTGCAAATCATGAA